TTGACATAGTCCACTATTAACGTAGTATAATTTGTAACTAAGTCAAATTTTATTTTTGTAACAACACGTCTATCAAGTAATCATGTCTTCATAGTAATAATACTAATAGTCGCAACATTATTACTACATAGAGGTTTTGCTCTATATATGCCTAAATTTTAGGCTCTAATTTCATAAATGTCGGTTTTCACAAACAAAAAAAAAAAAAAAAAATCAAATATAGTCAAAACCACACACGTAAATAAAGTCAAATGCTTTCAAAATTAAAAACAACATAAACCTAAAATCCAAACCGTATAGTCATACAAATAGATTTTTGGGATGCGAGTCATGTGATGGTTCTTTGGGTCAACTAGCTGTGAAATCTCATTGTGTTTGCCTGAATGGATTCTTGGACACAATATGTTTGTGTTTAGGTAGAATTTAAAGTCGAAATCTATTACTCCAACACTTCACATTCTTTTCCATGTTAGATCTAACATTTCCTTTGTTGACAATATCAACCACGAAAAAAATCAGGATTTCATTCCCAGTCTCCAAAATATATCAGGTTAATTTCCTTCTCGTCAACTCTAAAGTTGAAAATTAATTATGTCACTTGATACTTCTAGATTTCTTCAGCATTTTTATTACCAGACATGTCAACACTACCATAGTATAAATATTGTTCAAAGCTAGGGCTCAGCACTTCATTACTACATATATAATCCCAGGTGTCACAAAATAATTATATATAAAAAATGCGAAAGGCTACATCTAAGACAGCTATGATCGCCATCTTCTTGGTCATTGCATTTTGTGAGCTTTTCTTCCTAGCTAGCTACTAGTAGTAGTTAATTTCTCTACCTGCAGTGCAGATGAATGCTGTACGTAGAAGTGTGTATTACATAGTTAAAGGTCTCTAAACGGAGCACCTGTGTATGCTTTATTTTGCAGGTGTCCCATTATTCTCAGAAGCCGTGATCGTTGTTCGTCATTGTTCTACCGACGCTGACTGCGCTTCGTTTCAATGTTCTGGCAACGTCTCAGCTACTTGTGTCAACCACTATTGCAATTGCCAACAAGCGTCAAATATTAATACAGGTGACTCTGCCCTGCCAAATCACTATGGTCTTCAATCTCAATGTTTCAATCAGACTGACTGCGTCAAGCTCAGTATTATATGTGCGACGATTGGAAAGCTCGACTGTGTTGACGGGCAATGCAAATGCATCAACGAGAAGGCAGTCGCACGCCCAAGAGTAGATTCTGGTCGGCTGCAGCCAAATCGAAATGGCCAATGTTTCACTGAGACCGACTGCAATGGGATTACATGTTCTTCAGGAACTCTTAAATGTCTTGATGGGCACTGCCTATGCGTAGACTCAGCTTGATCGAGCCTATAAGCTACATAGTTGCTCCTAGTTAGGTGCAACTTAACTAGTAATATTACGACAAGATATAATAAAATCTCGTCTATTAATAATTTAAGGAAGTTTTAACGAAAAGTCTACGCTACTGTTCATTTTAACGAAAAACCACATTTTTACACTAAAAAGTCAAACCTGTTACTATTCACTTTACCCTTTATTTTGTCCTTATCGTTAAAACTCAAGGTTTTCAAGTCTTTTTCATTAGTTTTTCTATAATTTAATTCTTGTACTAATTGTAATTGAATGGTATATACTGGCGAGCTAGCTAAATCATATCATCCATTCACACCGAGGTTTTTCTCTTCTCCATATGTGTGGCCGGCACCAAATTAATACTCGAATAATATGTTTTATTGATCAATATCTTAAAAATAACTTTCGATTTATACACAAATATTCCAATAACAACAAGAATACATAAGCTTGGTAATTTCTAATGTTAGACCTCCCGAAAACTATTAGCTGTTTAGTGATGATAACAGTTTGTTTAGAGTTTAGTGATGTGGAAATTAAACTTGATATTTAGGAAACAGTAATTGGGAGTGATGTATATAATCGTTAATTTCTTATTGTTTGATACCATCAATAAGGAAAAATATCAGAAATCTGAGAATAATTTAGGCTAAGATTAGATAATAATTATTTCTGAAAACAGAGCTGCTCACTAATCCTTGGATGAGAAGAGTTCATGTACATATAAGACGGCCGGATTGATAACGTCCCCTACTGAATGATGAATGATGGCTGTGCACCTCCATATCCTTCTTCATATGTACTGTTGGGAGGGCCAGCAGCCGGACATGTTTTTCGACGAAATTAGGGATACCGGATACGTATATACAAAAACTATATTCACACTTGCATATTCATCTCTATCAATGTTGGTTGAAAGTTGGGAGTCATCTACTTTCTTCTTGTCATGAGAGCCCTCGACTCGATGCTGTCTCTGGACTTGATTATGTTAAAATTTTGCCTTGCAGTCCAAGGATCCTCCGGCGACGTATGATCTGGTACAACAGGACCTGGTTGATCATCTGTTTTAGAGAGGTAGGTACTAGGTGATTCGGCATGTAGGTATGAAACAAAGTTTTGATAACTCGCTAGCCTTTTTCTTCCAATTTTTTCTCTTTCACAATTCTTCGTGCCTTTCGACCTAATCACAAATTGAACACAATGTCCAAAGGTTTTGTCGAATGATGGCTTTGATCTTGCACTTATGTTTATTTGGAGCATTGGGATGGAAAGAAAGAATTTTCTTTGGACGGGCTCACATTTATCTCCATTGGATATTCATATGCGTGATGAAACTGCAAAGGGCGCGGCAAAAACGGCACTAAACCAGGGATTCGGACATTGTAGGCCAAGTTTGGTCACTGTAATGCAGTCGAATCAGTTGCAATTGGCTCTACGTTTCATTCCGCAGTACTGCAGATGAATCAGTGCAATTGGCGCTACATCTGATTCCGCGGTACTGCAGATGAATCAGTGGCAATTGGCTTTACATCTGATTCCACTGTAATGCAGTCGAATCAGTGGCAATTGGCCACAACATCTGATTCCGCTGTTATGCAGTCGAATCAGTGGCAGTTGGCTCTACATGTAGTTGGCACCCGAATTCATCTCCATTGGCATCAAAAGTAAAACTTCCAGGATTTCATAACATTTAACGACAGATTGATATTCCAGAATTCATGTACAAAGATGTTCAGCCTTATGAAATCGTATCTACTAAAACCTTACATAAAGGATTAACAACTTTAGCCAGCTTGGAACCGGAAACCTTTTTCTTTGCAATCCGTTGGCAAATTGTTCGCTTGCTTTGCTCGAGCTTGCAATGTTGTTTTGATGCATATTGCTGGACATAATGCCAACATGTTGTATCCCTAAAGCTTTGCTTCAGCTGTCATACAAAAAATAACAGAGACGTTTGCAATGAAAAAACAAAGAGATACCTTCAGGATCGCACCATGCTCGTACAGTCTGCAATACAAATGCATAACAGACTGCAAATTTTGGTGCTCACATTCGCTTCAACTCGTCTCATCAGCCACCAAAATCAAAATTAAACAGTATTAATAAGCCAAGATTAAACAGCTTCAACTAATTCATACAAGTAGCAAAGAAATCCTTCAAAACCGCATTTACATATTTACTAAATGTCCTCATCTGAAAAACAACCAATTCAATCAGAAGGGTCACGTTTATAGGGAATTGTTGGGCTCCAGAAAACAGGATCACAAGTAACACTAGTAAATTCATCGAAAACTCAACGTAACATAGCAACATGAGCAATCAGAGAACTTTGAAGACCAATATGGTATGAGGTTGTTCCACATCAAATTCAGCAATATAAATCTCCTCATTTTGCTTCATAAAATCCATATACATATAGATCAAATGCAACAGTAAAAACACAATAATTAAACCATAAATTCAAATAAATTCTCAAACTTTAAAAGATATGGCAAAGCAATCAGAGAACTTTGAAGGCATGATTTGAAATTCCACATCAAATTCAGATTTAAAATAAATCTGATTTCATCATTTTGCTTTGCCATTTTCTTCAGATCTAGTACTTGTATTTTCTGGCAAATCAGAGTTGCGCAAGAGAAATCACTCGGATTCACTGCACAACCGATGCCAAAGGTTGAATCTTGCACCCAACCCTTTGCTCGAAATTTCCCTGCTACCATGTTTCCAAGCAGCAAGGGGCTATCTGGTGCGTTACAAGATTAAAACTTGATAATTTCAAAATCCCAGTAAAATCCACACAATAATTACAGAAATCAAAATTGAAGAAAAGAGATACGCAACGTCGAAGTACCTGACGTGGGAAATCTATCAGTTATACTTGCGGGAGCCTAATGCAGCCGGAAGAGAGAATTTTATAGGGGTTTTAGGGGTTAGGGTTTCTACTCGGCATGACAAACGACTTGTCGTACGCCACTCGTGGCTTTTTCCTTTTTCATTTTTTCTTTTTGTTTTTATCCCAAAAAAAAAATGAAGTTTAATGAAAAGTTTCCGGTACTGTTTATTTTAACTACATTTTTTTTATACTAAAAAGTCAATTATGATATTGATCACTTTACCATTTATTTTGTTCTTATTATTAAAACTCAAAATTTTAAACCATTTTTATTAGTTTTCCTATAAAAAAAAGGGTGTGGAAGTCATTAGAATTGACAATTTCACACATGATTAATATTGTTCAACTAATATTGCTTGATGTGTATTCGGAAGGGTCGTATAACTTAGTTAAGATCTTTCATTTTTATTCTCGAGATTTAAGCTCGATTTTCTTTTTCACCAATATCACTTGTATCAACCAAGAAAAAAAACTGTTGTAATAAGAGTTATTATATCAATTTTAAAGTTAACATAAACATAACACGGATATAAATAAGTAATTATGAACATGAACCTCTTTCATCCCATCGCTACCTCGTATAATGTGAAAATTTTGACAACACTACATGACAACATGACCATTTAAATGAATTTTCTTTCCCTTTTACAATTTATTCAACAACTACAATTGCAAGCGAGGAAATTGGTAATGTCATCAATATTTTTCACTAATATCTTGCCATAATTGAAGAATGAATCACTCTCGTGATGTAATTTAATATAGAGGACTTTTTTGAAATCTAAAAATTGAATTGACCTTCCGTTTCATTTTATTTCCTCTCCTATAAAATGAAGTGAAAAATGAACTACTTTGCAAACTGAACCAAACCAGCAAGTCTACAAGTTCCTCACCCACAACACTGTCAAGAACAATATGGAGAGGAAACCATCTCTCAAGTTTGCTTCTTTGGTCCTCCTTTTGGCTACAATTGCTTGTTAGTCTCTCTCTCTCTCTCTCTCTCTCTCTCTCACACACACACACACACACACACGCATTGTGACACATTGGTATGAGCTAATTTGTAATTTGCACAGGCATGGCAATGTGGAACATGCCGGGAGCTGAAGCAAGGGGAAAACTCCGGTGTCCTGGGATGATAGACTGCAGCAGTGTGTGCGAAGGATTTCCCTGGCGCTGCGTTAATGGTGAATGCATATGCGATGGTGGCAACCTTCCTCCCCAACTCCAAGTTGAAGCCAATTTTCAACCAGACCAGTTGCCATGAAATGTGTACAAGGGGATAAGTTTATAGTACTATATATGTAACTGTCTGAGTTGAGTAATAAAAGTAACTAATACCTTTATTTCATTGGCATTATTGCTTTGCTTCTAAACTTAGTGATCATAAGCAGATTAAAGGTCACTTAATCTGATTACCAAGTAGCAACCACTCGAAATTAATGTTACGCCAAAGGCAACTAATCCTTTTCAATCATCTGTTCAAATGTCATCTAGGGGACTTAAATCATCCGTTGAATCATTACACTTCGCCAACCTATATGTACACTAAACGAATTTTCAAACAATACAATACTTCCTATTCTGCAGAACCTAACAAGACACCCAGCACAATGTAGAGCGCTTCAGAAAAAAATTTCAAGGAACAATGCGTCACAGATATGAGAGGTTCGTCGTGATGTTAAAGGCGTGTGAAAGCTCATTCTTCACAAATCTTCAATGGGGAAAGGTTCCTGGTTAAGCAAATATATGACTGATACAACAACAATTACTATGAGAACGTACTTCAGGCTCAGGCGCTTGGCCTGTACCACTTCGACAGTGTCAAGTTCTGAATCTGAGCCAGCGGGACTATATACAGAACTGGAAGCCCCTGCATCATTATCACAGCCAGGTGTCTCTGCTGACGGTTCATCCACCTGATTCAGTGAATATTGCAGAGTTTGTGAGAAGAATGGTCCAGAATCAGAAAATGAATCATGAAAAAAACAGAAAAGGTCAATCTCAAACACTGTCTTTGAGTTCATTATGTAGTTCTACGATTTTGAAAGGAAAACAAAGAATTTAAAAATCCGTTGCAACCGCTGCAACTTAAAACTATATTGTAAACACCTTAGTAATTTACAGTTATACAAGTGGTAGGCACTAGGCAGTCCTGGTTATGCATGAAGACTGAAGACCCTTCTTTAGTTTTCTCTTTTAATTCCCCTTACAAGTCCATTTATTGTAATAGGAACTGATCGAAAAGAATACCTGCCTGGAAACTTTTATCTAAAGAATCTGTCACATCTTCCACGGATGTTTTTATAGAAGTAGCATTTGGAGAAGTACACTTGAAAGGTGGAAGCTCTTTGTTGTCAATGTCTTCATTGTTGCACTCAGTTGCATCTTTTTTGGTGTTCCATAATTTCTCTACCAGAAATTTTTTCTCCATTGTTAAGACTTGCATCTGCACAGAAGAAACTATAGTTAATAAAATTATTATGAATATGCTTATAGTTTTTCTTTACTCGGACACCTTGAGTGTGCTTTTTCGATGGCAATTCAGTGACTTCTACTTTCCCGTACATATATTTGAAGCAACAGATTTCTCATTTGAAACGAGGACTTGAGTGCAAGAGAGAATTGGTTATACAAGACATACCTGCCTTTGGATGCGCTCCCTTTCTACAGCCAGTTGCATTGCCATATCCATAATGAGCTTGATTCTGGAATTGAGTTCTTCCGCACTTGCAAGTTTTGCATTGTTAGTTTGAGCCAAAGACAATTCCAAGAATTCCACTCTATCCCTTAAAACAGTTATTTCCACATTTAGTTCTGCATTAGTTTCAGACAACATTATACATTGCTCCTCAGTACTTTCTGTCTTATTCTCCGCTTTGGAAACCTTCGATTTTAGATCTTCAATCAAAGTTTCCATATCCCAAATTGCAGCATATAACATATTTTGCTGCTCTTGACTTGCTTCGGAGGATGCTTTTGCATGCTGTAATTGTATCTCTACTTCCCTCAGCTGCTTCTCGAGACTTCCAACCTTTTTTTCTGTGCCAGTAGCACTTCCTTTGAGAAAATTCAGCTCTTCGGTGAGTTCCACATTTGTTCCTGTTACTTCCGCAACCTTAAGTTCTGCACTCTCGGCCTTAATTTCTGCTACAAAGATATTTTCTTTCAAGGACGCAACTAAACTTTCCATTTCCCCAAGTTTCTCTTCACTCGATTCATTCGTGGCATTGGCATTCTTCAGCTGGAGCTGTGACTCTTTCAGCTGTTTCTCAAGGAGCGTCACCTTTTCTCTCAAAGCAGCCAGTTCAACATCTCTCTTAATGTTCTCTTTCATTATCTTCTCGAGCTTATGCAAAGCATTATCTTTTGCTCTAATCTCTTCTAAACTAGCTTGAAGATTGAATTTTAACTCGCTTTCTCGCTGAATTGAACCGTTCAGATTAAAATGAACAAGCTGCAGTCGACCCAATAACTCCTTTGAAATCCCCTGGAGAACCTCAGCAGCATTTTCTGCCTCCAAAAACCTTCCCCAAACAACTTCTGCTGCTTCTTCCATGCGAAATGCTACCTCTTCCATATGATGCATCTTCAATTTAAGTTCTTCTTCATTCTGTCTTGATTCGGCTAATTTCTTCTCAAGATATAGCTCCCTCGAAAGCGACTTCTCCAGCATCCATAGATTATGTCTTTGTTGTCTAGGCATCCTTAAATTTGACATTGCATTTTTATTCGACATTTGAGAATTTTCTGACAAATCCATGGCAATATCATTTTTCCCTGTCGACATGTGTGCCTCAAGTAAATAATAACCAAGTAAATATGCATCTTTGCTATCTGAATTTAAAGAATCTCTCAAACTAGACAGAAACTTTGAACTTACAATTTTCATGTGCGAAAGCTAGAACGGTTCTCTGAAACCTTGCAGACTGCATCTTGACCTCGGAAATCTGTTGCCGAGATTGCTTTAGTGATTCTTCAGAGTCATTTAGCTTTCCTTTCATTATAGAGTACAGTTCTCCCAAGTGTCTACACGAAGATATTTTTTGACGCGCATCAACAATTTCCACTCGGAGATTATCCATGTAATTGTCCAGCTCTCGTACCTCAGAATCTAAAATGCTAGACAGGAGATTGAACACCAATACTTTCTCAACAAAGTCTGCCAGAATATAGTTATTCGTGGTGGCCATTGCCTCGAGATCATTTTGCTGAGCCAAAAGGTACATCAGAGGTACATGGAGATTTGCTAACTTCTCAGAAGAATATGCCAAGTCCAAGTCCACCTTTGTCAAAACTTTCATGGAACTCTCTAACTCTTGCACGCCAGATTCGTTAGATGGCACCCGTTCATGTATGTGGTTTATCTCAAGCTCTGGATTGCCAGCATTGATATCACAAACAGCGTGGTCTTCCATACCAAATGCTCAATTCCTGCTTTCGTTACCTGATGTCTTCTATCTGAATCTCGAAAAAGTTTCAAAAGAGAGGGCTGAGCAAGGCAGACTTAATTTAGAGCAAGAAATGAAACGAATGAGCCCCAAAATATAGTCATTGGTACATACATTACCAATATCCATAATATCGCCACCAGATTAGACTAATCGAGATTAAGTAACAACTAACAAGCGATCGTCGTGAAACTTTACAAAGTCAATCTCTATTGAACATGAACATCGTAAATTATAGTAGTTTAGAATATCGCCTAGCCAACAAAATATACAACAACATAACGAAGAACAACCAAATTTGTGACATTACAGCTCTGCATAAAAGTTTTGAAGCTAAAGACTCACTAAATACTACAAAGTTTTCTGACCAAAGTAAATTACCATAAGGTTCCAATGGTTAAGCAAATTAAATAAACAAAGTTGCAGAGTTGAGGCATTAAAAATGCATGCAAAAATTCAAATATGTAGAGAAAGCAATACAAAATTATATACAACAAAAGCAAGCCGTCTGGGAAATTTGCAACTCTGGGTCCTCAGAAAAATACCTGGAAGTGGGAGGAAAGCTTTTCCGGGTCTTCTCAGGGCTCAGCAGGGAACTAAACTGTTGGGTTTAACCACCTGCCGTTGCCGTTAAACCAAGGTGGACTTTTTGGAGTTTGCTGGGTGTGGTGGTTTGGGAGGCTGTGGGATCTGTGAAGGTGATGACAGGTGAGAGCCGCGGACACCAATTGGTCAAAGCAAATCGAAAGTATACAGATGAGGTACTTAGAATGTTGTGTGTTCTGCGGTGCACGTTGGCACCTGCCCCACGTAGGAAGCAGCTCCTCCACTCCAATAATTTAGTTATAAACAACAACATCATTAAAACGTACGCAGTACTCGTAACGTCGGGTCCACCTTTGATGATTCTTGTGGCTCATTCTTCGAGGAGAAGTTCTTGTGCCCGCCATATACGGTAACATATACAATCAAACAAGAACAAGCTGCCTAAGGTCGGTTAAATCAAACGCAGGTGAGCTCATTGTTTTGTGTCGTGATTGTGGATGTGAACTGCCGACCTAGTTTAAACAGTCTAACATAAGAATTTCTCCTTATCATTTCATGTTTTTTTTTCTTCATATTTTGTTTTGGGAAGGAGCTGATAAGACATTTCATATTTTGTTTTGGGAAGGAGCTGATAAGACTTATTACTGAAGTGCCAAGTTATTAAATTTTGGTTTTGATATTTGAGGCAATAATTGCATTGGGCCCTTGTGGCATGTGATATGGGATTGATTGCAGGTGATTGGGATTTCAATAGTTTACTTTGAGTTAAGGACTTTATCAATGGAGTCAATCATGTCTTTCAATAAATGATTATTCATCATTATTGCGTGGATCATAACACAGTTTGGTACACAAAGTGTCAAAATACAAGCGGTTGAATTTTTTATTGAGATATTCAACCATTTGTATCATAATAATTAGTGTATCGGCCGTGTTTTCGGGACATTGAAATTTCTCAGATCATGGATGCCATAAATTTAATATATTACTTTTTCGCAAAGGGGCTTATACATTTTCTTAACATTTTAAATTTAGATATGATAAAAAGAAAATACAAAAATAAAAGAGTTTTCGGAGCTGGCAAATCTTCATAGGACCAACTACCCACTTTGGAATTTTGGGTTGGGCTCTATCTATTGAATGCTTACTTGGTTGGGCTTTTAAAAGTTGTAAATTCGCTCTTAACTAATTCGGCCCATATGTTTTTGCTGTGGTTGAACTTTGACGTAAACATATTTTTATGGACCAAGTTGGAAGTGATTTGAATCAATCAAATCTTTGACCTAAAATGGAATATCAATGCTTTCTCCACATGTCAATTTGAGAATAAATTCTTAAAGTCCGGAGCAGCGTAACTCATAGCTAGTGAGTTTGCTTGACTATGGCCACGGATAGGGTGAAATTTTTCATAACCTCTCCAATTCCAGAAATGATGGATAACTGCGGCTTATCACAAGTTGTCTCTCTTTTAGAAAAAGTAAAAAACACCTTTTATTTAATGTGTCTTCGGCTAGACGATCACGAGAGCCAATTGTTGGACACTAAGAATTTCTCCAATTTGAGGCAACAAGTTGATGCAGCACCAAGTTTGCAGCCCCTCCAAAACACAAAAAATGGCATCCAAGCTTGGTCAAGCAAAGCAAAGAGACGCAAAAGCACGTTAGGTTGTCTGAATTTCTCAGTCGCCATTTGTTAATTGTCACGTCCTTAGCATTACGATCACTATTTAGGTTTGGACCACCACCCAACATTTTTCAAAATATCTACCTAATTAGAACACATGTCGTTTTATT